TGGCTGCTGGCAGTCACAGCCTTTTACTTTTAACTTCATGAATGCTGTTTCATGGAGAAAATTGAGGGCCTTGTAGGTCCCATAGAGATGTATAAACTCTCTTATGTTTTTACTGAAATATATAAATACTTGTTCACTGGAAATGCCATGTAGTATTTAGACATATAACTGGTCACCTCAGTTACGCAAGGCTGTACACTATTGATCGTCAGATAGTCTTTTATTTTCTTTTTGTTGAGGTCTAGGAAAAATCTTGAAAGCATACTCTGGCAAAGTAACTGAAGATTTTGGTTCATGCCAGCTGCCTGATGCCTTAAAAACTAAAATGCCCAAGAACTTTCCTTATGTCCCTTATAATGACTGTGAACTCAATCTACGGATTAGATACTATACTTTGAGAGTTCTTTGCATATTTATTGCCTAGCTTTGAGAAAGATGAGAAAATAAGTTCACAGAACAATAGAATAGTTTGGGTTGGAAGAGACATTTGAAGGTCATCTAGTCCAGTCCTCTGCCATGAGGTGGGATCCATGAGGCCAGATCAGGATCCATTTGCAATATTGTTCTCCCAGCCATTCCCTAACAATGATAAATGGGTCAGCTGTAAGTAATGGCCTGCTCCTTTCAGCAGGTAATTAGTATCATAGCTTAAATGGTAGCAACAGTGAGTGGTTCTGAAAAGCTAAGCTGCTGGTGCACAATGGTATGCTATTACAGTTGTATAAAACTTCCTTTTTTCAAAGGAAAAACGTGAAACAGTATACACACATCCTGGAAGCAAACGTGTTCTTGAAAGTCATCAAACTCCAACTGTGTGGTTTCCAGTTGAGTTACGTGATTATATGTGGTTTTATCACTAGGATGCAACAACTTCTTGCTCAGGTGGTAGCTGAGGTAAAATATGCCTTAAGTTACACAGTTGACCATGGACCTGGATTTTATTTTATCTGAATGCCTCTTCAGAAAAAAATATTCAGAATGCTGATATATTGAGATATGTAGAAGATATAAAGCCACAAAGAGGATGTAAAGACATAAAATGTGTTTTTACTTGTACAGCCTGTGGCTTCATTTTATATTTCTGTGGTTTAAGATCTTAATGATTCTATGAAGTCAGATAGTAGTTTGGTAGTAATAGAAAATAAACTTCATTATTCTAAATGTCTGTAGCTGATGGCCTGAAGATAATAATGACCTTTCCAGTCTCACAAGAAAATAGTTTGTTATTAATCAGAAGACTGTTTGATTTTATTTTATTGTTTTGCTGAATTTTTTCCTGAGTGTTTTGATCAAACCCTATTTTCCCAAACAAATCCAGGTTTTCAATTTTTTTATTCCCTTACTGTTGTAATTGTCATTAAATCTAAGGGCTTTTTTCAGTACTGTGAATGCTTTCTCTTGAAAGTCACTATGTTGAGGGACTACATTAGATGAGCAACTTTTGATTGAGCTGAACTATGGTTTCACTGACCACAGTGGGCAATGGCAGATTTTTCCTCACAGTTGTGATATTCTTGAACATTTTTTATGGAAAGAGAAAAATATTTCAACACTCAAAGATCTCAATGAAAAAGGGATAATGTGGTGTTTCCCTGTCATGGGGGAGAAGTGTGTTAATATACTCAGAAGAGCAGGTTTGCAATGAATTTTTTTCAAAGCTGTTTCCAACTGTTTTCCCTTTGACAAATTAATTTGGCAGAGCTGTGATTAAAAAGATAGAAGATAATGCTGTCCTTTTTTTTTCTGTGAATAGTAAGTTCATAATTTTGTTTCTGAAGAGACTCTTACTTTGAGAGAAGGTGAAGTGCAGCTTGAAACGATGGGTTATTCTGACTTACTAAAACCACAGACAAAACCAGAAGCTCCTATGAATAAGGCTCTAAGCTGGAATAGAAAATTGCCATGGGTAAATCTTAATGGTTTTATTTCATATCCGTGACAGCCTCCATCAGGATGTGCTATGATATAATTCTGAAATGAAATTAATGTGTACTTCTCATAGTTTTTAAATGTTGCATTTTCTTTTTTTAAAAAAAGACAAAATTTAAAACAGATATTTGAAGCTGTCAAAGGGAAAATACCATTTCACTGTATACAAATGCTTTATCTTCACGACTTAACCAGTTGGTCCAAATTTTGCGTTTTTACGGGGAAGATCTTATGATCCCTTCAGTTTGCATATACATCTAATCTGAAGTGGTGTGGGTTTAAGTGGAAGTGTTTTTCAATACTTAAAACACACATTTAGAAAAGGAGTGACTTGAGGGGAAAAAAGATAACTAATTAAAGATAACTACTTGAAAATGCAAAAATCTCATCAAAATTATTTATATATTCAATATTTGTAGTAATTTTAAGCAGTTTTTGAGTACATGAATTTTCATCAATTTCTACCTAAGCTAATTTGGTGCACAGCAAACGTAACGTAAGTAGTGTTGATTCACCATTTTCCAACATAACTTGAGAGTCATAATTAAGAATATTAAGAAATATATCTAAATGAAATATTGTTAGCTGGAAAGATATGTTATCTGTACTCATAGAAGCAAAAAAAAATCACATTTAATGCCAAGTTTTACAAATCACCCATTTTGTATGGTTACTGACAAGGGAAACAGCTTCAGTTTAGGAAGTTTAGAGATGCCCAAGGTGCAGGAGTGGGATAGGCAGTATATCTTCGATCTCTCTTGCAAACCTTGATGAAAGCCCCCTTGAAAATACTGTCAAGCTGTTTGAAGGCATCTGAGAGATATTTCCTGTTCTGAAACTTGAGTTCCTAGAAGAAGAATGGCATTTTTTCCTTCATTCTTCAGGAAGTCCAAAATTCTGATCCCCTGAGACTGGAAGAAATTACTTTTTCAGATGTGACATCAAGGTGGATTGCTTTAAACTTGGACAGTGGCTAGAAAACCAGTAAGCTATATTCTTTATTCCTATGCAGCTGTTTTAATATATATAATACTTGGTATTTTATGTATTATATATTTCATCAGAAACATATAGTATATCTGCATAGACTTGAGGTGAGTTGCTTCTGGCTACTGTCTCTCCAATCAGCAGAGATCAAACCTTTGATTTTGATGTCCATATTCACACCTGTGATGGAGTAAGGAATTTTTGCTTGAGAATTCTTTGGGCTGGTATGGGCAGTGCTGGCATTTATAAAGATGTTGTAGTGGAGTAATACTTACAGATATTAGTTCTGTATTAGTTCTGGTGAAGGACTTAGGCCATTTAAGGACCTAGTTAAGACTTCTCTGTATATCAGTCGAGTCAGCTGTTGAGTCTCTCCTTTTGCTACTGGTGAATGCGAAGGTTGAACTTAAAAGCCTTCTATGACCACTGAAACGTCATGTGAGTGACATATGGGTGTATAAAATAGTAGGTACCTTTATCAGAAATGTGTTTGCTTCATTAGTTGACAGCACCTGGACCACTTACTTAATATGCTGTGGTTTATTGTCTCTTGAAGGATAGGGTGAGTTATAATATAACTAGAAACTGAGTTGATGGTGAGGGTGAAATGTTCTGAAACCATCATTGGGAAGCACTGCATATCAATTTGCTGAATATCCAGCTGAGTCATCAGTGTAAGTTCTCTATGACTTCACCCCCTTTGCTCAGAATTATAGCCTTTTTGGAAAAGGGAGAAAAATACAGAAATGTTTCCATTCTTCAAATTTTGCTGAATGGTAATATTGCGTTGTCACTGAGTTAGATTAAATGATCCACATATGGTTTAAATAAGCAGCCAAAGTAGTGTACTTTTCTTTTTTGACTATTCTATTAAAATATATTTTTCTTTTAGACTTGACATATGAAGCAGAAATGTCTTTTCGGCTATGATGACTGCTACACCAGTTAAAAATTTTCTGTATAACCCTGTTTTCAACAGCTTAGGTCTTTGGACACTTCAGCTGTTTGGGGTTTATTTATATGGTCAATTTAATATTTTGCCTTTTTAAAAAAGCTGTGGAGTTTATAAATCTCATTGCACTCTACTGTTTGTATTTTCCAGAATGTTTATAGCATCATGGAATCATTTAGGTTGGAGAAGACCCTTAAGGTCATTGACACATTATCCCAGCACTGTCCAGTCCGCCATTAAACCATGTCCCTAAGTGCCAAATGTACACCTCAACCACTTCCCTGGACAGCCTGTTCCAATGCTTGACAACCGTTGCAGTGAAGAAATTTTTCCTAATACCTGAAATAAACCTCCCCTGGTGCAGTTTGAGACCACTTCCTCCTATCCTATGTTTTGTTACTTGGGAGAAGAGGCTGACCCACATGGCTACAAGCTCCTTTCAGGTAGACCGTAGAGAGCAATAAGTTCTCCCCTGAGCCTTCTTTTCTCCAGGCGAAATGACCACAGCCTCAGCTGCTCCTCATAAGACTTGTGCTCCAGACCCTTCACCAGTTTCATTGTCCTTCATCCAGGTTGACAGTGGCGTTTGATCATAACACTGATTAATCAGTCAAGTATGTTGCTCTGAGGAAAGTGAAACTTCGACTTTGGGATACAGTAAACCTGTCCCCCCTCCCCTACCAGATTTTGTCTTTAGGAAAAGATAACATAATGAAAGCATGAACTTAGGTGTATTGCAAACCTCTTAGACCCTTGCCTGTGAGAGATGTAAGGTTTTTATAGCTGGATGTTATTCAGGGAAGTAAGCAAACACTAATACATACTTTTGGCCTACTCTTCACTGAGGGATTTTTGGGACAGTTATTTCCCTCCTCACCTCTCTTCAGTTTTTTGAAATTATATGTGTTCCTGTGTTTGTAGAAAGCATACCTCAAGGGCAGTAGGTGCAGGACATTCAGATGGTAGGGTGTGAATTTCTAGAGAAGACTAGAGGAAAGGCCACTTTCATTGGCCAGAGTTGAATACAGTCTGAAAGTTGCTTTTGAATTACATATCCTAAAAGTATTGATCTTTAAGGCTGAGGCTGTGTATGCTTCGAATTTTAACTTTCCTCTCTGTTCTCTCTTTCTAGCTGGAATGTTTGCTGCTTTTCCTACAGGGTTATAAGCTTTGATATTCAGAAGACCAAACTGAAAGATGCCATCTGAGAGGTGCCTGAGGTATAGTACTTGGTAGTGTGTAGGAAGTATTAACATTTAGGATGATGTTTGCTAAAGCATCAGTTAAGAAAGTAGAAAAAAGTGAAACTAATACTTTTGTTCATTAGATAGGAATTCACTTTATTAAATACATATCCATGTTATAATCTGCAAAATATTACTCTCTTGTTACCACTTATCTCTAGTAAAGAGAAGTGTGCCTGGGATTGACTGGGGACCCACGGCCTCTTCATATGTTATGTTGTTTATGCCTTAGTTTATACTTGGAGTTTTTGATTGTGGAATCAACTTGCATTTTATATTTATGCATTCGAATTGGTGGCTGGTGACAATTTTGGGGGTGTGTAGTGTTCCACTGTTCAGGATGTATATTACTCTTCCAGTTGTTTAAAATGTCTTCAAAGCATTCTCTCCAAACTTATCTGCTTTCCCTTCTGTCGCTTTCCCAGTGTAGCTGTTCTCATTTGTATTGCCCATTGTCACAACAGAGTATTTGTTATTTATAATTTAATTACTTTCTGGAAACACTTTCAGGCAGAACACTCTGCAGAACTTATTAACTTAATTGTTTTTCTGCAGAACTTTGTAGTAGTGTGGTATGCTAGTGGTTCTGTTTTACAGAGTAGCTAACACTCTGATCTGGGACCTCAGAGAATTACCTGATACTACTGGAACACCATATCATTTCAGTTCTATTCCTCTTTCCCATGCCATGCTTCTGCAGTTGAAGAGAAACAGGACTTGCTTGCATTTATAGCTGTTGAATCTGTCAACTGATAATATCACTACAAAGTCATCATGTTGTGTTTAATGATTCTGTGTATTTTCATTCATAAATTCCATTAAATTGCCTTGCATGCATATGTTTCATATGTTTTTAACACAAGGATTACAGGCAATTGATTTTTCATTTTGGCATTGAATTGAAAAATGGATTATGATAGAGCTCAGTTTAAAACCACAGGTGTTTTCTATTGAGTGAAATAGTCCTCTTGATGATGGTGAAAAAAGCGAGAGGAACAAAGGTCTTGCTTCACAGCACTGGGAGAGAGGCTAATAAAAACAGAAATAAAAAGAAACCATCTCTGGGTATAATTAGCATATTATACTTGCACTGGTTTGATTTAGTCACTTTGCTATAGAAATGACAGAAGAGAAATAACTGTTAGAAATAATTCCATTGTATTTTAGCAAGTTAGATTTCTTGATAACTGTCATTGAGAATATGAATTGGGTTCAACAAACAGAACAGCTGAACAAAAAAGAATAATTTGAATGAGTAATTTTTAAATGTATTTAGGACATGTCCATACATGAAACCTAAACTATCAAAGAGGGGCTGAAGTTCAGGTACAGGCTATTCCACTTTGGCCAGCCTTCTTCTGGAAGTAATGTCTTAGTTGTCGTCTTTTTTAAAAAGTAGGTTGGATTAGAGCAAACAGTCTGGAAGGCAGGGCTGCAGTAGTTTAGAGATGCCCAAGGTACAGGAGTGGGATGGGCAGAGAGTGTGTATGGATAACAAAGGAGAATATAGCAGCCACACAGCTGCTGCATAGCATATGTGTACAGTGAATTACATGATTGTAGTGGAAAGTTGATAGGTTACTCACCCCTTAATAAAAAAAAAAAAAATTATATCTTCACTTTGATATACAACAAAATGACTCTTTGTAAATTCACCTTCTATAAACACATAAATTCTCTGGCAGTATAAACTGGTAGTCTCACAGATTTCAAATCAATTGCATTGTTTGGTGCCAAAGAGGATTTGCCAATATGTTTGATTTGGTTCTATTTACATCAACAGTTACATTGTCTCTTCTGCTGCTGCAGAAAAGGAAGCTGCCATCAGACAGTCTTAGACTGGATTATGTGCAAATCTTTTATTCATACATGGAGATATTCAGAGGTGGAGAAAGCCTTAGCATTTTAAAACAAGCAGACGTCTTTCCCCTACCCCCAACACAGACCAGGCAATCAAAAAACTCCCACAACACTTCATAAATATGAATAACTTGAAATGGTCTGAAAACGTTCAGTGGCACAGTATTAGTCTTAAACAGGCCACCTGAGACCATGATCCTTCGTTCTTTTTAGTAGAACTGATTGCATACATCCATCCATCCTCCTTTCCACTGATGCATCAGTTGGAACCACTTAAAGTTTTCTGCAGTCCCTTAACCTAGGACCTTTATTATTCTCATTTGATTCTGAAATGATTCTGAATTAATCATGTGAGTTCAACTGACTTCCAGTACAGCAAATGAAAATCAGAATCACTGAGGTTTTTAAATATGAGTATGTAATCAGGTTTCATAATACTTTGTTATACTGAGCTCTTCTTGTGATGTCTATGCTATGTTAAGATTTTTTGCCTGACAGGGGTCATGACTTTTTTTTGTTTCCAAGAATTATCAAACAATCTTGCCTTAGAAAAAGTTGTTCCGTATTTTTGACAGAATATGCTTGTTTCCTACATTTTTTTGACAGAATCTTTTCCCTTTCCCCTCTCAGTGTTCAGGAAATGCTGACAGGTCAGAGGCTTTGTCAGTCCAGCTCCCATAATGATGCTGTCCTGGCAGCCCTGAACCAGCAAAGAAGTGATGGCATACTTTGTGATATTACTCTTATTGCTGAAGAGCAGAAATTTCATGCACATAAAGCAGTCCTGGCAGCCTGCAGTGACTACTTCCGAGTAAGTACAAAGACTTCTTTCTTCCTATAATAATATTAAAAATTATTATTGTGGGGGACAGGAATGGTTATAGATGTCATATTGAACAAGCTTTAAATTTGAGCCTTTAGAAAATTCAGGATTATTACAATTTAGTAGAGTATATAACTTTAAATATCTGCACACATGTCATAGGAAAGAAGTGTTAAAACATTTTTTTTTTTAATCATTATTTATGGTAAGTCTTCCACCCCTCTTCACCCCCAGCAGAGGTAGGCAACTTCTATGAATTTTATGCCCCAGTAAAGTCAGAAAGTGGAAGAGTTTTTAGTAGAATGAAGAAATGTTTGTAGAACATTGGAGGCAGTTGTGATCAGAGGATTGTGAAGAGGAAACTGAGGGGAGACCTTATCACAGTCTTCAACATCCTCATGAGGGGAAGCAGGGGGCAACTACTGATCTCTTTATTCTCGTGACCAGTGACAGCACTTAAGGAAATGGCATGAAGATGAGTCAGGGGAGATTTAGGTTGGATATCAGGAAAAAGTTTTTCATCCAGAGGGTGGTTGGGCACTGGAACAGGCTCCCCAGGGAAGTGTTCACACCACCAAGCCTGACAGAGTTCAAGAAGCCTTTGGACAATAGTCTCAGGCACATGCTGTGATTCTTGTGGCTGTCCTGTGTAGAGCCAGGAATTGGACTTGATGATCCTGATGGGTCCCTTCCAACTCAGCATATTCTATGAGTAGAGCATGGAAGTATGGGGAGAGGGAATGTAAATTTAATCATTACTGTGAGGGTGGTAAGGCCCTGAAACAGGTTGCCGAGAGAAGTTGGGGCTGCCCCTGGAAGTGTTGAAGGCCAAGTTGGATGGGGCTTTGAGCAATCTGGTCTAGTGAAAGGTGCCCATGGCAGGGGAAATGGAACTAGGTGATCTTTAAGGTCCCTTCCAACCCAAATCATTCTGTGATTCTATGATAAATGCAGTTTAATTCAGCTTGAGAGTGGATTTTTGTAGGATGTAAATGGTTACTCTCAAAGAGGAGGCTACAGTAATTTTTTAAATGTGGTAAGACTTATTTTCAGAAACAAGTGTTTCCAAAATGTAAAGATTAAAATACTCCCTGGGAAATCTAATTCAGATACTCAGCATGGAAAATTGAACCCAGGTGCTAAAATTGGAATAACTGAAAAATTGAGTTTGCTAATAAGAAAGAGTATTCTACATATGAAGCAATAATTCTAACCTTCATTATAATGTACCCGCTCAAAATGTTGGACTGTCTATAGCTCTGTAGTTGACTGGTATTTTTAAGTGTGAGTCATCCTGTTGTTAATCAGCGACTAAAGCTGAAATTAATTTGAAGGTCTATTTTCTTTGACAAAATTTTATTTAATATTTTGTCTACACTGTAATTGTAGCATTATGAACTTCTTCATGGTGACCTTTTTGTTTTGTTACAATAGTAATACAGTGTATGACAACAGTTCTGTATCCTTAATTACCTGAGCAGAATTTTTATCTTCCTGTCAACTGTCTCTCACTTTTGGTTAGAATTTAGATTTAACTTATTCTGTGTATTTAAGAAATATTATTAACCTTGATGTTACTTTTTCTGTGATGGTGTTAAGACAATTGATTGCTCATTTTTTGAGCTTATCTGCATGCTTATGGTTTCTGCTACAGCATACTTTGTACTGCCATAGTTACTTCATAATGGTGCCTGGGCCCTGCTGTTACAGAGATTGCTTTGTACTTTTTTCCTTTTACCCCAGTGCACAGAGAGGGATTCTGGAGCTCTCTAGCTCTAGCGGGTGTTATATATATACTTGTCAGTGATAGATACACTACCATGCTGCTGTTCTTGTTTGACTGAAATATTTTAATAAGGGTGCCATATCATTACTCCACACGTGACATTCTTTCCAGAGCTCAGTGTACAGTGTGCATAGAAACATCATAGAGTGGGCATCTGTGCCCAGCATTCCAGCAGTGAGGTACAAACAGCTTCTACTTTGGTCACTTATTGATTGACATTGAGATTTGGGGCACTGTGACTTACAGTGTTATTTCCAGTTGAGTTACTTGTTATTAGCTGGACACTTACTACAAATTAAAATCTTAATGCCCTTAATTGCTACATAAATATTTTCTATTCAAAAAACATTGAGAGAATGATCTATGCAGCATTTAGTAATTTGGTCTGCTTCTAAAGTGTTATGGTTTGGTAGGATGTATTCTTCAGACTTTATGTATCAGCTCTAAATATGGAACCTGTGCTTCCTGAAAGCAGGCAAACAGTTTTTATTATTAACGGACAAAAATCTTTGTTAGAAAATTGTGAAATGAGTCCTATGTTCTGTAGGAAGATGGCAAAAAATTTACTATACACTGTGTTCCTGATTCTAATAATTTGGAAAACACAAGAGTTGATTAAAAAGTAATAATGTTTTGTATTTAACCTGAGATTATTGATCTTTTTATATCTAGGGGGATTTTGAGCTAGTCAGGTATTAATTTTTTAAGATTTAGGAGAATGATGCCAAACTTCATTCAGAGTCAGTGAAAAGAAATGCATGTTTCCAGAGTATGATAAAAGAGGATAGAAGATTTATTTAGAATTAAATTAATGACCATCTGAGTGCCAGATCTCTCTCAAATGGTCATAAAGACTAGACTCACATGCTTCAAAATTAGCTCTTAATATTACATTATTTTAACCTAAATTTTTCCTGGATTTTCCTGGAGGAATTCTTGGGTGAAACTTGCAGATTTTCTAACACTGAAGTCATTTATTAAAAACTCATTGTCATGTGAAACTTACCTTTCACTGCTTTTTTTTGAGATATAAGCGCAGAACGGCAGTGAACAGGATTCTAGGAACATCAGATGTTGGAGTTGCCTTGAATAAAACTGAGATGACCCAACTATATATCAGTCTGACACAAACAACTTCCCTACCATAGCTTCTGGTTTCTACAGCTCATAGATTTGATTAATATCCCAGCCTACTTTCAGCTCTATCTGGAGAGGCTCTCATCTGATTCTTATGATCTCACAGGTGTATTGGGTTTGGGTGGCTGGGTTTTGGTAGCATGGGTGGCTCCTGTGAGAAGCTGCCAGAAGCTTCCCCCATGTCTGGCAGAGCCAATGTCAGGTAGTTCCAGGATGGATCTGCTGCAGGCCAAGGCTGAACCAATCAGAGCAGGTATCTGGGATAACATATTTAAGAAGGGAAAAAAAGTTACTGCACAGATGCAATTGCAGCCGGAGAAGAGCAGAGTGAGAATGTGTGAGAGGAACAACTCTGCAGACACCAAGGTCAGTGGAGAAGGAGGGGGAGGAGTGCTCCAGACTCCAGAACTGAGGTTCCCCTGCAGCCTGTGATGAAGACCATGGTGAAGCAGCTGTGCCCTTGTAGACCATGGAGGTCAGTTCGGGTGTAGAGATTCACCTGCAGCCTCTAGAGGAGATCCATGCTGGAGCAGGTGAATGCCTGAAAGAGGGCTGTGAATCCATGGGAAATCCATGCTGGGAGGATCAATCCTGGCAGGGACCTGCAAACCTGGGGAGAGGAGCCCACGCTGGAGCATGTTTTCCTAGTAGGACTTGTGGCCCTGTGGGGGACCCAGTGTGGAGCAGGCTGTGCCTGAAGGACTGCACCTCATGGAACAGTGACCCATGTTGCTGCAGTTAGTGAAGAATGTTGCCTGTGGGGTGGACTCGCATTGGAGAAGTTTGTGGAGAACTGTCTTCTGTGGGAAGGACCCCACCTTGGAGCAGGGGAAGGACTCCTCTCCCTGAGGTTGAAGCAGCAGCACAAACATGGGATGAACTGACCATAACCCCCACTCCCATCTTCCTGCACTGCTCAGGGGAAGGAGGTAGAACTCAGAACTGAATGGGGGGCTGGGGGAAGATGTTTTTTAGTATTTATTTTATTTCTCATTATCCTGCTCTGATTTTGTTAGTAATAAAATTCGGTTAATATCCCCAATTTGAGTTTGTTTTTCCTGTGATGGTATTTGGTGAGTGATCTTGCCGAGTCCTTAACTCATGAACCTTTCACTGTATTTTCTCTCCCCCGTTCCACCTGTGGAGGGGACTGATAGAGCAGCTTTGGTGGGTGCCTGGTATCCAACCACAGTCAACCTACTACAGTCTTTTCTGGGTCTCCAGATATACGTTCAATTCTACATGTCTCTGTCAGAATGAATAATTTTTTTTCTTTTTTTTGCTGCTATTGTAAAGCAGCTTCTACAAGAGACTGGACATGTGCTTTCTATGGAGTACTTTTACAGTTTTCTGCAGTTTTGTTCTGTGTCTGCTTTGATTTAGATGGAGCTACTTCTTAAATTGTTGTGTTCTCTGAAGCAACGTATTTTTTTCAAATTGCCGCTTCTGTCTTTCTTTTATTGCAAAGAAAAGTTTGTTAATGCTTTAGAAGGATAACTAAATGTTTACCATGTTACAGACTGAGGGAAGTGGAGCCATTGTGTGGGGAAAAGTGGATGGAGAAGGTTAAACAGGGGTTCCCTTATCAAATTTTCTTTGAGGTTATAGTCTGGAGTAAAATCTTTTGCTTTTCTAAAACAAGCTGGAGTCCTGAGCTTCAGCAAAATACTTAAGGGCCAGCCTGCCATCCATTCTTCCAGTTGTCTTGTAGTTCCAGCTGTAAAGAAACACTGGAGTTTAAATTCTAAGCGTATCTCCTGGTTTGGGAATTTGCCACATTTGTACACCAAAATGTTGTGGGTTTTTTCTTTAAAAAAAAAACAAAACAAAGCAAAACCTTAGGAAATTGGATACAAAGACCACATTGAAAATACAGAGTTAAATTGCAAGATTAGACACTTGAAAATTGGGTGTTTTAATTTGTCTTCTGCTCCTACGTGACCTCTTCTTTCTGAATGTGCTAAGGAATATAGTAGTTATCTCCACACCCTAAGAGAATATAATAAAGAATAGTAACATATGTATTTTTATGGGTTCTTTTTTAAGCAACAAACAGCATTCTAGG